TTCCCATTGATCTGGCACCAGCGCATCTCCAGTGGAAACTGAGTTTCTGCCAAGTGCCTCTGCATGTTCTCTCTCTCTCTCGCTTTCTCCCCCACCTCCTTCCGCCCATCATAATTGCCTGGCCTCTCTGCCGCCTACCTCATGATGAATTTTTAATGTCATGTTGTTACTTCTTTCCCATTATCCTTATGGACAATAACTCTTCATCCACTGTAAAGAGTGAGTCTCATCCTCTCTTTACCTTTATAAATGTGACTCCTGTGATGTCTAGGTTAACCTTTGAGGCCTTTCTGGAAATGGTGCCCTGGATAATCTATCTCTGTCCCGATGAGCAGTCCATTGTATTGTAATTTGGCTTTATTGTTTCAGACTTGCCCTTTAAATGATGTGAGGTTTTGGTTCGGATGACTGCCAGTGTAAGCTGATCTTGGGACAGTGTTTACAGGCAAACCCACCCTAGAGCTTCCCACCTCCATAATGAAATGTGAAGACCGCTCCAGGCCAACACACTGATGGACTTGGCAGAGATTGTTTTTAGCATAGGCGGAAACATATGGGCTTTCCGTGGGTTTTCCCATTATGCTGAGCTTCCCCCCCCCTGCATCGGGGGTGTTGGGATTTGAGTCATAGAGAATGTCAGACAGATTCGATATTTGATCAAGAGAACAAAGTGCATTTTCATTCCTCTGTTTTCTGGGCAAGCCTTCAGGGCAAGGAAATCCATGTTTGTCATTTTGTTTGTGTGCTGGTGCGCAGGTGTCACAAAAAGGGAGTGTTTTTCTCTTTGATAAGTGCACATGCTTTTTTTCTGGCCTTTGTCAGTGTGCAAAATTGCCTGATTGTGCACGATTAGATTTAACACACATTGTTAGATGTTTCTCTTTATATTTAATTGAATCGGGTGGCATTATAGAGTCTGTTAGACTGAATTTGACAATTAGTCTTCCCAGTGGCTGTGCCTGAGTAAGTGAATATGACAGAATTGTCTGTGTGTGTTGGAGGCTGAGGGTTCTGCAGTAGAGCGAGTATGACTCACCTCTCAACCATGTGACTCATGAATCATTGCTCCTCCGTGGGCTGCGCTCTCCTTATCAACCTCTCCGTCACCCCATTCTCTCTATTTCTCTTTCTCATAGCCACCCCCTCACTTTCTTCATTACCATTATTATTGGCCACTTCTTTGTTATCTCTGTATTCCAAGCCTTTTTGTTGTTAATTACAATTTCACTAGTCATTTCATTAGTCTGTCATTTTCTTCGTCTAATTTTGTTTCTGTCCTTGTTATGAAAACCTTCATCGTTTTCTCGTTTTATTGATTTTATCATGGGAAATTGTCACTACTTGTTTGCTTCCAGCATTGTCTTGAGTAGTTGTTGTTGATAACATTGCGAACTGAAAATTCCTGGAGTCAAGTGATTAAGTGCTAAGGACTTTGCATATGAAGGTCCTTGTTCACAAAACCATGTTTGACTGCTGTCTTTGTACCCTTGAGGTTGTCATGTAATCATTTTTGCTGAGCGGTCTAGTAAGAGATGGAATTATATTAATAAATTGTTAGAAAAATGAATATGAGTAGTTACCTAATGGTTAAGGATAAGGTTAAGTTGGAGCCACAAAAGCCTGTTACTGACGCCACAGTTCCCTAGTGAAAAATAAATATACTAAAATGTATTTGAAATACATTTATTTTATGTTAAGTATACTACAAATACATTTACATATTTATGTACTTAACAAAAATACCCTGCAATTGTACGTTTGGTATACTAAACTGGTATACTTAAAGTCTGCTAAATTCGAACAAATAATTTTGTACTTGATGCACTTTTAATTGTGTGGAAGCAGTGCTGAAGTCCAACTAAAGATATACTAAAGTATATATTTGATTGTGCTAAAGTGGAACTGTTGCAAGTACACTTCAGGTACACCTTAAATGTATTGCATTTAAAGACTGATAGTATTCAAAGATCATTCAATCCTCATCAATAATGACATTAAACTACATTTTAGGCATAATATTAAGAAATGTGTATTAGGCACAAGTAGTAAATTTTAAAATCACAAGTCTTGAGCGATATGTCATTAAATATGTTAATAGATTTGAACTATACTTAGTATGAAATAAATGTATTTTCAATATATTACTTTTTTACTGCTCTGCCACATTGTAGGAGATTGTCCCACAGTTACTTTGAATAAAAAAAACATCTAAATGCACTACAAAAATCATTCTTCATCTAAATGTTTTGTAATTTACTAGTCCAAATATCTATATTCTGTTTACTTGAGAAATGACACTTTATCTCCATATGATATAACTTTAGAGTGAATGTCAGAGAATTAATGTATTTCTATATAATTGCATCTTACTGTACTGATAGAATTTTTCACTTAAAGTCTTTATACCTTATGCAGTGTTGCTTCACAGGTAAGTTGATCTTATATTGTTTTGTTTTATGAAAGACAGACTAATTAAAAACACATTCAAGTCATTTATTATAGTGTGGTAACTAATTAAACATGAGCAAGGACAAAAGTAATTAGTTTGGGCATCATGTACTGTATATGTTTTTTTTAATGCAGGTAAGTTATGTTATTTCAAAACCGTTGTCATTTACTCACTCTCATGTTGTTCCAAACCTGTATGATTTTCCTTCTTCCATGGAACATAAAAGAAGATATTTTGAAAAATATCCCCCAATATTGTTTTGGACACGTGCACATGTGTGTTGTTTTTAATGTTAAAGCCATGTGAATAAAGGCTTTTTACTTTTTCCACAATATTTTCGAGTGCCTTGGATTGATGAGTTTTTTTTATTGTTTTGGACCCCTTTGACTTTCATTGTATAGACAAAAGCATTTAAAACATTCTTTAAAATATATATTTTTTGTGTGTTCCACCAAATACCTTTTTGGTGAGTAAATGCTGATTTTTTTTTTTCTTTTTTCTTTTTTTCCCAGTGAACTATCCGTTTAAGTTTATTTACATAAATGCAAAGCAAACCTCACTCCTAAACATGTCTCATGTGGTGTGATAGTGGGACGTCTCTCCCCAGAACAGCCTTCCTTGCTGAAAGTCTTTGATTGCACGCAGCAGTCTTAGTGGGACTACTAATGTGCTCAGTCTCTCATTAGTCGAGACCCCTGCCCCACTTGCTTTCTTGTTACATAGCCCACACTTTCCCTTCATGATCCCTTTAAACAGTAAATCTGTCCTCTGGCCCTATTTTAATGTTCTTTTGTCTCTGAATAATGTGTGTGCGCACATACGTGTCTGTATTTGCTCACGTATGCCAAATCAAAGCTAAGAAAATTTGACCTGGCATGCAATTAGGGAGATGTTATGTGGCAGTGATTGGCTCCGGGGCTCACACAGTTTGTTGGGCTAATTGCTGATCAAATGAGCTCATTAGAGAGATCATCTCTGAAAGATTTTCACTCCGGGACTGTGAATGTTCATGTTTAACTCCCTTTTGGTAATACACTCCTATCTCAGTATTGTTTTGGTGCTATGTGCAAATTTTGTTGTTGTCAAATATATTGTGTTAAAATACTTCTCTTTCTGTCATAAGTTATTATGGTACCATCTAGTAATGGAACAAGGTAAACCAAAACTTTAATTGTAGCAATTTGTGCTGTTTAATTTGAGTGTGATAAATACAGGAACTACTAGTGTGTAAATAAATGTATGACGTGTGCAAATCTCACAACCATGTTCTTTCCAAGAAGGAATTAAAAAAACAATCTTAATAAAAAATAGTCAAGTTTATTTATTTCTCTCTGTGTAGCAAAACTAGTCATCAACATGCGGTTATTTACATCCAGCAAACGCATGTTTATTATGTTACGTACAAGATACATCTAGAAAGGACATAAACATTTTTTCCTCACACAAGACTTAACGGCATTTTTACTTGGATACACTAGTCATTAATCTTTTTTTATACTTTTTTTCGATGCTCATAATGTCTTCAAAGAAGCTACACAATTTAGATGCAAGTTTACAGTAACGTGCAGAAACTTTACTCCTCCACTGGTTCAAGCTATTCTCAACCATTTCCCCCCTAGCTTTCATCTGACAGTCTTTCAAACCATTTAAAGAAAATTAGAACTGTGTATGCCTCCCCCTTACTTTTCTTTTTCAGATTGACAAGCACCAGTTTGTTACTTTTTAATCATTTCATTTGGGACAATTTCAGCCAGTTTAATCATTCCGACAAGTTTGAGTTTTTTCTGATTTCAATTTTCACTTACTTAACGTTACCACTGATATTGAGTAGATCTGGATTGCTTCCTTCCCATGTGAACTGTAATCATTTAATAGATTGTCTATGCTTTTTGATCAAGCTCTCATTGGCCCAGCGATTGATTTTGGTAAGATGTAACTGTCGTAGGGGCAAGGTTACTCTTGAATAAACCATTAACATTTGACACATTTAAAACCACAAACATGAAATACATGTTTTTAATGATTTTTATATATAATTGTTTTATTTGTAAAACATGTTCAAAGGCTGATCACTACTTTTCAGTTTATGAGCTTGAGAACAAACCTTTCAGCTAGTCTGTGACAAAAATGCTGCTCATCTGAAAAGGGGAAGAGAGTGTCTTAAGGCAATTAAAAGTTGTATTCAAAACAGCTTCTAGGAAATAATAAATTTGTTTCTTAGAAATCGTTGGAATGTATGAATGTCCTTTGCACCAGCTTTCTATCTTTTTGCGTAAAAAACAATGGTATAAACGCATCGAAGGAAAAAATGCAAAATGCAGACAGCGATAAGAAACTAATTCTATGTACAAGACTTAGAGTGTATCCTTTGTTTCACAAGGGAACGCACAAATGATAAATGCTCAAGCAGAATACTCTGAGGTACAAGTAAGACTTAATACATTTGGTGTATAGAATAAACTAAATGTATATTTCCACCATTATGGCACTGTGATGGTTTCTCTGTTTGAATAAATCTGCGCATTTGCGTTCCTTAAAGGTGCATTTAGAGTATTTTTTGCTATCTCTCTCTACATTATGATCAATGATACTGACCACTGGGATTTTAAATGTCCAAAATATACAAAACAAAAAAAAGATACTTAAATAAGACTTAATGGAGTTGCTTCCATAATAATGGCAAATCTTTCAAGATTCCATCTTGAATGTCTTTGTATTGGATGAAAACATGGTGTTTAATGCTATCAGGTATCTGCTCCTTTATAAAGGCCTTCTAGGGGTCTGCAGAACATCAGTGTTGGGTATTTGAGATATTTAAGTCCCCTTTCCTCTCACCGCTCCAGTAGTTTTGCTGGTCTTTCAGTCTCTCCAGGGGGAGGAGGGTGGAAGATGTGGTTAGTTAGACATGAGGATCCCGAATATGTTCTGTCTTAAGGGTAAACTTTAAATCTGAGGCAAATGAGTACGACGGAACTTATTTCAGCAAAAGAAACCAGAACATGATACGTTGGCCATGAACAGTCTTTAAGTTGTTCCCTTTCGCTTTCCTCTCCTCTTCCTCCTCCTCATCGCTCTGTTTTTCCCCCCAGTCTGCTCACTGAAACATCCTGGGATGTTTCATAAAGACTCTCTCGATGAAGTTCTCCAGCTCCTCTTCGTTGTCCTGTGGCGGCTGCCTCAGCGGACTGTAGTAATCATCTTCCCTGGTGACTACAGGAGCTCGGGCTGGGTAATAAAAGGACGGCCAACGACGCGGAGGCGACCGGGGTTTAGGCATGGGTACGGCTTTGAAAGTCCGAGGGTGAGGGAAGTAGAAGTTTCGCTGGAAGGCTGGTTGGACTCTTTGGCGAGACTGCGCCCAGGGACGGGACTTCCGTCCGTAATCAAAGTCATACTCCAGTGAGTTTCCCAGGACATCGTTGAGGGAGAAAGAGGGCTTGGGATAGTAGCGGGATTTTGGTTTTGGAGGCGGGACGTAGATGGGGTAATATCCCCGGTAGGGTTTTTGATAGAAACTGTAGGAAGGGTAGGTACGAAAGGGCCACTGCTGCCTCGTCCAAATGTCTTGCTTGCTGGGCTTGACCGAGGCCCTGTCTTTGAACCAGGTTTTTAATGAGTTTGTGTTCGGTTGAGGAGGCTTTGAGGGAGGAGGTTTACGTAACAGCGTAGAAGGTGCAACGGGGGCTGGAGGCGGCAAGAGAGGACGTTGCCATGGGAGATTTTCAGGAGCATCTTTTTTCTTCTTTTTCTCCACATCGTTAATGATGTCCACCACATCATCAGCAGGAAGATGCAGCTTGCTGGAGATCTCAATCAACTTATCGATGGTCTGTGGGTCAATGTCATCATCGTCGTCACTAGTGTCCTTCTCATCAGAGCGCTTATCTTCTGCACCATTGTTGTCTTGGTACTTTTTCTTGTCCTGCTTCACAATGTATTTCAGGAGCATGTCAGATGCAATGTCTGCAAGCTTTTCTTCCTCCACTTTAGCTCTTTGTGCCTCTGCTGCCTGTCTGCGTACCTCCTCTTGCTCCGCTTTGGCCCGAGTTTCCTCTTCTTCGGGGCTCAGCTGTTCTTCGTCCTCTTGATCTTCCTCATCTTCCTCCTCTGGGTCAGCAAGGTTGTTGGAAAAGTCATCCATGAAGTTGCCTCCTCTTTGTAAGGGCTGAATTTTGTTCTTCTCTTGTTCGAGCTGCCACTTTAGCTTCTTCTTGGACAGTGCTAGGTCATTGCCTTTAGCTTTAGGCTTGATCTCATTGTTCATGAGGCCATTACGGTCTAGGTAATCAAAATACTCCCCACGGCTCTCCCTCTGGCCTGTGAACGTGTCACGCTCTCTCTTAGTGGCTGTGCTGTAGCTCTGGAATTCCTCTAACATAGTCTCCAGATTCTTCACTTCCTCTGGACTCAGCTGCTCTTCCTCCTCCGCCAGAGAGATCATTTTAACAAACCTTATGTATATTTTGCACAAAAATGGTTTATTCATTTGAGTGGGGTATATTTTTTTAAGCTATAAATTGTGTTTTATTCCCAGATGTTTAGCTGATTTTGCAAAGGCGTTCTAAATGGCTCTGCGGCTTGAGCTGGTGCGGTTCGTGAGGGCTCTGAAGCGCTTTTGTGCATGTGATTGCTCGCACACGCGGCGCGGTGCTAATAAAGTATAGGAGGAAAAGCGCCTTTGCGGGGAGCCCTTCCGATGCGTGGGAGGTTAATGAGTAAGCAGTACAAAGATGATCAGAGGATCTCAGTATGACCATGAAAAGGAAGTTTAAGATCCAAAAAAAAAAAAACCCTCATATGGATGAAACGCTAAATGAAACAGATGCTGCAGAAACTTTTTCTCATTTTTATTAAAAAACAACAGTCTGTATCTCCTCTCCAATGCACATTTTTGGTCTTGCAAGAATCGTGTCTCCACAATGTAAGCACAACTCTAACGCTCTCGTTCACTGCCGCCAATGACAGAGCACACTGGGGAGTTCTCATCAACAAAGCACTTAAGTAATCCGGCTCTAAGAAGCCTTGTCCTCAAGTAGGCCTATAATCTTCTGCTTTAAGACAGATCTATTAGATTTAAGATTTCAAATGAGCCATACTGCTATCACAAATTGAACCCAGTCAACAACATTTGAAAGACATAAAAACAGATAATGAATGCTCTGTTAAATTTCATGTCAACATTTCTCTGCTCTATATAAGCAGGTACATACACGTATGTAAAATAAAAGTCAAATTGGACTCCCAACCGGTAAAAGTCAAGGTAAGCCAAAGCAAAACATGATTTTTTTTTTTATCTCAGTGTCTCTCGTGTGCTTTTGTGATTGGACTCAACGTTGTTATTTTGGGTATCTGATGCTATGGTGATAAGAAACATGATGAAAGCATGAGCAAGGGCGTGGTAAAAATCATTATAAGAGCTGTGCCATTGATCATCCCCGTCACCTTCATCATTAAGTATACAAGTCACCATTGCATTATTTGGTGTTCCTAAAGTGGTTTTAATAGGTTGCATTAGCTCCTTGACCAATAATTCAATTATATAGATTTTATTAAATGCTATAGCCTAATTTCAGTTTCTATATGTTTTTCTCATCTCCTCTTTTTAAATGCAGATTTTTAAAAATGTATTTTAGAATGCATTTTACTACACATCCTTATTTATCCTTAACATATTTGTGTTGTTTTTTTAATACAGGGAATATTTTTTTAACATGCTAATATAGCGAAATCTTTACGTTTTTAATTTGTTTCATCTGTCCACATTACAATATACACTTATTTTCCCATGGCTTCTGTCATTACTGTTGCCTGTTACTGTAAAAAGAAAGCCGGGACTTACCGGGAATCCTGTCAGTGGCAGCGCAGTCCGACGCACCAATCGTGTCTTCTTCAAACTTTGTATTTAAGTTATTTTCGTGATCTACGTGTAAGAATCCGCTTCAACAATAAATTCTTTGTTTGAATGTTGCTGTTTTGTTTGTACAGTGATTTCGTTTGTGTAAGTCGTATGGTTGGCTTTTCTTGCGCGGTGCTATGGGGATATTTTCAGTACCACGGTCAGCTCTCCGTGTTTTTATTTCGGCCCCACTGCGCCCACGTGACTGCACGTCACTCTAGCTCATTGACGTCACCCTCTCCATTGATAAGAATTTTGGTGCTGATCGAACCCAAGTCTTCGCTACGCTGCAGTGCCCAGATGAATGGAAGGAAACGGGATGAATGAAATAGTACTTTTTTTCGCCGAGTAGAGAGGGCTATACGGGGAGCGCGAGACCGATCCCTTCCAAATGCAGCTGCATACTGATGACAGCGCAACACAAAGGAACCAACGATCCTCATCACGATGTGCATTGCCTCACTACCAAAACGTATAAATGCAATTACACCATGAAATTCACAGAGGAAACAGCTGGTGCTTGAATCGGCAGTGCATGGTGAAAAAGCGATCCCAAATGCATATTATACATGTTTTGTCTAATCTGCATTTACTGAGTAGCTAATGTGCCTCTTCCACACCCAGGTCGTGACAGGATGTTTTGAAATGTATCATTATTGAAAGCTGTTGCAACCGTTTTTCTGCATGGCCTAATGGACAATAAACATTTACAATACAATGTTACAGTACGGTGTTTCAGTGTACTATGTTGTTATCCATTGTGCAACGTCAAAATCCAAACGGCAAAGAGATGACAGCTTAAAATAGCCTCGAATTAAACACCATTTCAGTTTGCAACAATAGCCTATTGTTAAAAATGCATCATTCCGGACGTTAATATGTCACATCTAATGTAAAGTTATGTTTTTCTATATTTAATGCACATTTCTTTCCTAAATGTTCGGGTGATCTTTATTGTAGCCTTTGAATAAAAAAAGCAATTCCGGCAACAATTTGATTTATCACGAGTACAGGAGTGCTCAGTCATGGTTTGCTTGAACACTAAAACCTTGTAGTGTGTAAAAAGAGACTCTTCGGTAAATGCAATGAGTAAATGTAAGTGCGAAAAAAAAATCGCTTTTGTCAGCAGTAGTTTTCAGGGACCATGATGAACTTTATCTCTTTGAACGAACTGACAATTGAAATTTTAAAAGCCTATTCACCCAATGATTTTTGTCATTATTATTCACCCTTACGTTGTTTTAGGAGATGTTAGAAACTGACAGTCTCAGTCACCGTTCACTTTCATCGTTTTTTTCCGTACTAAGAAAGTTAATGTGACTCAGGCTGTCAGTCACTCACATCCCCACAAAACAAAGGTCATGTTTGGCATGAGGATGAGTAAATGATGAAAGCTTTTTGTGATTCCTTTAAGCAACTTATATGGCAATAGTATCTACTAAAATTAAAATGTGTAACAATAAAGAACGATGTGGTGCAATAATTATTCCTTTTGTCATTTTTCAAGTTCGTTTTTATAATGTTTCCAGGTGGACCACATCTTTTTCCTTTTAAAATGAAAACTCTTCATTTTGCACGCATTACGTGTCATGTTGCAGTATCTCTAGTGAAATTGTTTTGCAGAGCTAACTAATAACGCTCTAGGTCTGCAAGTGCAACTTTGTTGTCCTGTGGCGACACGCCGTTATTCCGAGTAGTTGTCATTAACAGGGATGCAGAAAGGACCGTTGACAAAGCCGCATTTCTGCACGAGTTTGAAAGTTAAACTTATCCACGTACTAGGCCTGTCACGATAACAACTTTTTGTTGTGCGATATATTGCCCCAGAAATAATTGCGATAAGCGATATTATTGTCATTTTAAAGACCATTTTATGCCACTGAATATAATCATAATGTAACAGCATAATAATGCAAGAAGGCCTACACACTTCCAAATGACAACAAACTTTTAATTTTAAGAATATTTAGATCATGGAAATTAAGTATCAAAATATTAGATACATTAAAAAACTTGAATAAATAGTAAATAAACATTTCTAACTAAAAGTGCAAAGTAACAAGTAGAAAAAAAGAAAAATGCACAAAGAACTTTTATGGAGTAAAATTTTTATATTGATTATTGCGACAGGCCTACCACGTACCTAAAGTAATGTAGAAAGCCATCAGTTCCAAAACTGTGATGCGCTCTTTTACTGCAGTCTATCCAAGTGTTCTCTCAATTGTACTTTCCCCCCTATTTTATTCTGACCATGAAAGGAGTGAGCAAGCTCATTCACAAAAATGTGGGATGATCCTGGCACTAGGCTGTCATTTGTTGCCTTCATTTTTCTTCATTACGAAGTTCTTTTGGCTCACTCTAATAGTACGACAGCCTTAAGGGCCATTAGTTACATTATTTTGAGGGTGCACCTTTCTTTTACTTGTGTAATTAAAGAAACGTTTATATATCGATCTAAAGTTTGAATGCCATTTCTACCTCTATTGTTTTGCTCATTTATACAGGATACAATGCAGAATAGCATAGTCTTAAGTCGTTTTAATGTGTGAATTGGCATGTTTTTACAGTAACGACACGATAATGAATATTCCATAATGAAAGTTAAGAAAATCCTGCCATGTGGATTCCCAGCAAGCAATTTTGCGTTTAAAAGACGTCTATTAGACGTCTAAATATAACCTAGACGTCTAGGCTAAAACAAGGCTAAATTTGGGTTGTCAGTGAAAATCTAATAGACGTCTAATCATAGCCCATTTATAGACTAGTCATCAATTAGACGGCTAATAAACGACTACATATATACCTCTAATAGACGGTGAATATGGGTCTAGGCTAAAACAAGGCTAAATTTGGGCTGTCAGTGAAAATCTAATAGACGTCTAATCATAGCCCAAGAATAGACTAGTCATCAATTAGACCGCTATTAAACGACTACATATATACGTCTAATAGACCTTTAAGAAAAATAACATTTTTAACAACTTGGACAACTTAAGACAATACAAAATGATAAAAATACAAAAGAATTAATGACAAAATAAAATGTTATAAATACAATACACTTAAATATAAATATTATGATAAAAAATCTGGAGTTTTTAACAACTTAAGATAATAAAAATATAAAAATTAAAAAATAAAATATTTTAAATAACTTAAGATATTTAAAAGAAAAAAAAATCTAATACAAATCAATAGCATGTTATCACACTTAACATTAAAACATTACGGATAAATGACAACATAAAAAAAGATTAACCCTTTTGTTGGTTTACTTTTAACAAATAAAACAACCAACAGTGAACTTAAAGGAAATTTTTAATTATTGGTTTTATTTCTTGTTTAAAATGCCGCCCAACTGCATTCCTCAAGTCCAACTCTGTTGCTGCCGGGAAGTTGGTCATCACAGCATCTGCCAAATAAGAAAGAAAAAAAAAATCACAAGAAAAGCTTGACATAATTTTTTACTTTAATTACACTAATTGTGACAGGGAGTCATTCTCTTTTGCTTGGATGCCAACTAAAAACAAAAACGAGATATATAG